TGTTAGTAAGTCATGAGGACTAGTTTGGGAACCACTGCTCTAACTGTATATTAACTTTGTTACAGATAGTGTCATAGCCCTTGCATTTTGTTTGGAATTTGAGAACATAGAATGGAATGCATCTGATTAATGCAATGGTTTCCCATTATTCTACAGCTGAAGTTTTGTACTGTCAGCACCTGTTGGGGTGTTTATACCAAATGAGAGCTACCATGGGTGTGTCTGGCTTTCAGTAAACATCAACAACAGACTTGCATTCTATATCATGCATTCATTGGCCACTGTGTGTTTAAAACTGCACTGTCATATGTTTTCATTCTGTTTTTCATATCTTATGCCCATTCTATCTTAATGATTATACTCCCACCTTTTCACTTGTCTTTATTTATATTGGTTATCTTTTCTTCTCAATATCAGTGCCCGGGATCTTTGAGATCGATGCTCCAGGTGCTTATTGCACAAAACACATTATGCAGGTTGTTCACTGCATTTTTGGCTCAAGAGTTACCACTCCAGTGATCACTTTGACCACATACCATATTGTAATTTAATTGGTTACTGAATTATTCAGACAAAAAGATACAATTAGGATGGGTATTAAAACAATTGCCCATAGAGAATTACATCCTTTGTATGACCATTGTTACCAGCTCCTGTTCCAAACTGAGGAACTCTAAGGGATCTTAGGTATTGAAAACATGAGCAGCAAATAAATCAGGCTGAATAGCTGGATAGGAATTTAGGTTTTTCCGATTTCAGGGGAAACCCAGAAGCCTGGACCATGTGTCTTGAGAACTGGGTTGGAAAACCGTGACCTAGAATTATTTGTATGTGTGTGACTAGTGGGGTCACTGGAGTCTGGAGGTTTGTATTTCCCCTGCTCAGCTGTCCAGGTGATGCTTTTTCCCCATAAGAGTCCCTTATTAGTTGCATGCACCAAGCCATTAACGAGATTATTTTTAACTTCCAAAAATATGTTGTTTTTTTAACAATGTTGTTTTTAACATCTTCCTCCAGGGACAGCAATCACCCACCTCCTTAATTTCTTATTATCTCCAATGTCTACTTATGGGACATGACATGAGCTGTATCCATTCTCTGGATTCCTAGATTCACTATGCTAGAATTCTCCCTGGAGCCTGTAAAATGTTTCCTAAAACTCTCAAGCATTACTAAAGAATGTTTCATTTAGCGTTTGCTTATTATTATAGTATTTATATAGCGCCAGATTCCATAGCGCTGTACAAAGGGTGGACTAACAGACATTTAATTGTAACCAGACAACTCAACGTACAGGAACAGAAGTTGAGGGTCCTGCTCAATGAGCTTACATTCTAGAGGGAGTGGGGTATAGTGGCTCAAAGGGTAAAAGTAGGGCTTATCAGTGTATACAGCAGCAGTGGATCCACAGACAGAATATGACACTCAGGGGTTTTACAGGCTCCAACTATAGGAAAAGCCTAAAAGGACTTGGGAATTGTTATAGACAAACTATGCAACAATGTGCAATGTCAATCAGCAGTGGCTAAGGTCAGTAAGGTATTGTCATGCATGAAAAAGGGCATTCATTCTCTGGATGAGAATATCATTTTGCCTCTTTATAAATCACTGGTAAGACTACATATTGAATATGCTGTGCAATTTTGGGCACCTGTTCTAAAAAAGGATATTCTGGCACTAGAAAAAGTGCAGATGCGGGCTACAAAATTAATAAAAGGAATGGAACATATCAGCTATGAAGAAAGGTTAACAAATTTAAGCCTATTTAGTTTATAAAAACGTCGCCTGAGAGGGGATATGATAACATTATACAAATATATTCGGGGCCAATACAAACCATTGTGTGGAAATCTATTCACAAACCGGACTTTACATAGGACATGAGGTCATGCGTTTAGACTGGAAGAAAGAAGATTTCGTCTAAGGCAAAGGAAAGGTTTTTTTTTACTGTTAAGACAATAAGGATGTGGAAGTCTCTTCCTGAAGAAGTGGTTTTATCAGAGTCCATACAGATATTCAAACAGTAACTAGATGCATACTTGCAAAAACAGAATATTCATGGATAGAATCTTTCAATGTGGGGTAATAACTGTTTGATCCAAGGATAAATCTGCCATTCTGGGGTCAAGAAGGAATTTTCCTAGCTTGTTGCAAAATTGGAAGTCCTTCAAACTGGGGTTTTTTGCTTTCTTTTGGATCAGTGAGACTCAAGGTAATCCCTAGCAAATTGGAATAAGGATCTATGGGTATGCACTAATGTTAAATAAATTAAAAACCTTTATTGTAGGGTTTATGTTCCCCAAAAAGAGAGAAAAAAGGAAACTTAAAAAACCATCACATCTAACAAACACACACACAGGGAAGAACTCCGTCGGTATATATAGATATAAATAGGGCAGAATAAAGTGATACTGTAGAATCTATCTTGTAGATTCGAGCTTGTAAGAGTGCTTAAACTAATCTGTCTACAGTTATCACTAAAATTTCCTGTTAGAGATAAGTGGGTACAGAAGTATACGATCTATCCTGTTCCCAAGTCTCTGGATAAGTAATACTACTGTATTTATTAATGTAGCAGTAAAAACTGTTACAAATGTAGCCCGGTCCTCTAAACAGAAGAGTGCATAGCTGCCTGTAATTCAATGCATGAACGTCTAAAAAGACCTAATGCTTCATCGACTTAAATAAATTTCACTTCCCCAACCAGTGAGCACATAAATACGTGCTGTGATTTGAAAATAAAAAAGCATCAACCTAACGTCCGTTTCGGCGCTACCAAAGTGCCTTTATCAAAGGTACGAGTGGCACTGAACGAGAGTGTATATATACCAGGATTTTTTACCTGTGAGACCAATCGGGAGTGTGGGCGTGACTCTCACATTCCCGCCGAAATCTAAGTCCATCTGTGTGGATAACGTGTCCCTTCGGCCGCTTTTTGGCTCCTCCCTAAGGGATAAGTCTAGCTTAATGGTAACCATGGCGACCGTCCTCATGAATAGGGTTACGTCTACTCCATAGATTAACCCTTTCATTCCTATACCGGGCGTCACGTCCAATCATTGTAATTATATGACTCAATCCGGGGGAGTATGGAGCTGGTCGAGACAGCAATTATTTAATATTAATTACCTAGTTAGGATGTAATATTTGGCAATGTAAATAAATAAAAGAAAGAATTGAGTGACTCAAATTTGTCTACGTTGTATTTGTTTATTCATAGGTTAGGGTGATGTGATCATCGTGTATATGCCTTCCTCACGAGAAATAAGTCTCATTACGACATTGATGATTTCCATCATGGGATACTGTAGTACCCAAAACCTATATGAACAATAGTAGACATACAGACACCACTTTTATACTTCAAAGCCAGTGAAAATAATAACGTCATATTTATTCATAGTTATGGTTAACTCTTAGTTAATTTTGGATGTTGTGCAACTCACTCCATATAAAGTGAAACACTGGTGTCCGAGGAGCCACGATAATATGCCAGTAGGTATGGTATATATATTCTCTGTACTAGGATCTATCTTACCAATAAATTCTTATAAATCCATAATTAGTATTTTCCATGGTATAATTAGAATCTCTGTACAAAATAAAGTGTATAGAACAGTGCCATTGTGCTTTAACCCTGTATTATTCAAACAAAAGGTTATATTGTACTGTGCTTGAAAACCAACATATATACATATTTACATTTTGAATTAATGGATGTAGGGCTCATTGTTATGGATCGATAAATGGGGTGAATGTAAATCCTTCATTTAGACCCTTGGGTGATAAAGTGTCAAGTTTATGGATCCAGTAACATTCCCTTCTTTTAAGGGTCAGGTCTAGATCTCCTCCCCATTTTAACCCTTTTGATTCCTGCAAACTTTATACATTTAGGTGTGTCCATATGATGAGATCTGACATGTCTGGCGACCGAATGGATGTGTTCCATTTTGCGTCTCTTAAAGAGGCGTATGGTCTTGCCCACATATTGTATGCCACACTTGCATGTCAGTAAATAGATCATACCCGAAGTATAGCAGTTAAAAAAATTGTTTAATGGGGAGTCTGCAGAGTCTGTAAGGATCTTAGATCCTTTAGCAATGAAGGGACATCTCCCACATTGATATGTGCCGTGTACCATTATCCAACTGTTGCTCTTTGTCTTCGATGTGGACAGGTGGCTGGGTACTAACATTTCTTTGATATTTTTCCCTCTTCTAGCTGTAATAGACACCTTGGATGGAATGGTGTCACATAAGTGAGGGTCCTGAGTCAGTAGTGGCCAAAAACGGCCTAGGATTTTCTTTGCCTCCTCCCAGCCTGCATCATAGTTTGCTATACATCTAATGAGCTTATTAGGTGCCGCTTTAGTCTCATTTCGTAGTAGGGTTTCCCGATCACAGTTTAATGCTCTTTGATATGCTTGTTTTAGGCATCTGTTCGGATATCATCTCTCTTTAAACCTTTGTCTTAGTTCTATAGCTTTGCACTTAAAGTCATCAATAGATGCAGTTCCGTCTTAGATATTGGCCTATTGGAATGCCCCTTTTGAGGGAGGTAGGATGATAACTCTCCCATCGCAGCATATTGTTTGTTGATGTTGGTTTCCGATATAAGGAAGTTTTAACTTGCAGACTCTTACCGTAAGCGTACAGTCCAAGAAATGAAGTGTTTGATCACCAAATTCCATTGTAAATTTGAGATTCAAATCATTCTTATTGAGTGACTCTACAAAGTCTTCAAAGTTTTTTTGGGTACCTGTCCAGATTATAAGGATGTCATCTATGTACCTTTTCCACAGATAGACATAGTCAGTAAATTCCTTGTTTGATTCTGAGGAAACAAACAAACTCACTTTCCCACCATCCTAGGTGCAGGTTGGCATATGCTGGGGCACACGATGTCCCCATAGCTGTCCTTTGCACCTGGTGATAGTATTTATTTTGGAAAAGGAAGAAGTTGTGAGTTAAAATAAATTGTAGTAAATCCAGCACAAAGTTTGTATGGGTAGTGTGTTGCAGCCCCCTTTTTTCCAAAAAATGTTTGACGTGATTCAAACCACTCAAATGTGGTATCGAGGAATATAAAGCACTGCTCCTTTTGGTACTTTTAGGGATGTCAAACATTTCAAAATATCCTTCGTATCTTTAAGATAGGATAGCAATGTCTCCACAAAGGGACGTAAAATTGTATCCACGTATATACAAATAGATTCTACAGTATCACTTTATTCTGCCCTATTTATATCTATATATACCAACGGAGTTCTTCCCTGTGTGTGTTTGTTAGATGTCATGTTTTTTAAGTTCCCTTTTTTCTCTTTTTGGGGAACATAAACCCTACAATAAAAGGTTTTTAATTTATTTAACATTAGTGCATACCCATAGATCCTTATTCCAATTTGGTACTCTCAAAGCTCACTTTGCTAGGGAATACCTTCAGTCTCACATTTGTAAACACTATAAGGGTTACCCCCTATTTAATCTTATATCTTTCTGTTTCTTTTGGATCAACAGCAAAAAACTAATATGAGGAAGGCTGAACTTTGACGCAAGTCTCTTTTCAGCTATGTAACTAGTCATAAAAACAGTGATTTTATTGGTAATAATGCTCTGTTATCTGTTCTCTGAATTTAGCGTTTATCTGGCAAAATGATTACAATATCATTGATGTTGAGGTTTTTATAAATCTGACAATCTGTAAAACACCTTTTATTTGTTTCATGACATTTACAGAGTAGGTCATTTGTAGATGGCTGGTTGATATACCAGCTGATACAGAAACTGGCTGAGATGCCCCTGCGCACCATTCAACACATTACGAGCTACAGAAAGCTTACGACTGCTATTTAGTTGGGATATTTATATCATTATCAAATGATCACACCTACCAATTGTAGTTGTGACAAGAAAGGAAAATTTAATAACAAAATTACACATATGTTTCACATAAACTCATGCCCTTTAAAGAATTAAAAATGTTATTATTGGCACACATTCACATGATAGATCCCAAAAAACTGTTTATATCATTGATTAGCAAAAGTGATCAGCAAGCATAAGAAGCAAATTGTGAACATAAAGTCTGATTATCCCCATCGCAAAAGTCCTTCTATGTGTACATTCTATCTTTATATGATAGAACACTACTTGTAAAGCAGTTTTACCGAAGCTCAAATACATTACGATAAGCATTCCCTCAAATCACAGCAAATTTATTTCGGATTACAAAAATAAACGTCCTCTCTTAGCAAACTTACATATTATACATGTATCAGGCCAAGCAGTATAAACACTATCATCATATCAGAGCCAGAGAAAGATATATTGTATTTAAAGTGACAGAATTACATTTTTAAACACTCACAGGATTATTCCCCAAAATGTTTTGGGAGTTCAAAGGGAATCTAATATTTTAGGGCAAAATAACTGATCTGAACATAAACGTGAAGAATTTTCTCAGATTTGCTATTTTGGGCTACAAGTTACAAATCACTTTGCATCCATTGGCGGATCCAGGGGCAACTCTATGTGCCTGCGGACCGGGGAGGGAGATCAGTGAGGGTCAGCAGGCACATTGCTGACAGCCGGCAGGGGAGGGAGAGAGGACCCGGAAGCTCAGTCTGCAGCTCCTCCGGGTCCTCCTCTTGCGAGATTTGGAGCATTGCCATGGCAATGCTCCAAATCTCGCGAGAGTGACGTCTAGCCCTGGAGCGTGGGCTAGACTTCACTCCATACTGGAACCACCAGGGATGGAGAAATGTCCCCCCTCCTCCTCAATAAAGGTAAGAAGGGAGGGGGGGACATAAAGTATATTTATTTATTAAATACTATTAAAAAAAAAAACAAAAAAAACAAAAAAAAAAGCCTCCCTACCCTTCTTCCTCCACTATACATACATACACACACACACACTACTGCACACCCATACACACACAGTGCCCTACACACACGACCCCCCCCATACACACACTGCAACCCTGACATACACTGCTGCCCACACACACACACACACACTACTGCTCCTATGCCCTATATCCCAGCAGACCCCAGGTAAGTTGTCAAACTGTTCTTAAACGGTATGACTACTTACTCTGGGGTGGGATCCTGGCACCATAACTACTACACTGAGCTGTAGTGGTTATTGTGCCAGGATTATTTATTTAAATAATCTACAAGTGCCCCTCCTGAGATCAGGCTCTGGATCCGCCATTGTTTGAATCCAGTTTTATTTTGTGTCAGTTCATACATTAGAGAATAACTCTGCCAGATTATATCTAGAACTGCAAATCAGTATTAGGACAAACAGGTGAATATGTATTTCAAATATATTATGTAACAAACAGAAGTTCATAAACAGTAGATCGCACAAGGCATTTAATATTAAACAATGTATGGTTTAAATTGTGGAGCAAAGTTTCCAAATTTGAAATAATTCTTCAGTTGTGCAATCACTAATGCTGGTCTGTGTTGTGGTCTTGTTCTTAATATTCTTAACATAGTAGATATTTTGTTATTATAGATTGAATCATTTTGCTTAGATGCAGAAAGACGCTCTGGAGTTCTGAAGACATCTATGGATGTTGTAAAAGCAATTAACCTGGGAAAGAAGAAAAACAAAAATAGAACTTCATTAATGGAGACCATGATATGAATTGCAGGTAGAGGGACGTACTGTAAAAATCTAAATTGAAAGCTTACAGGGGAGCTGAAATATACTGTTGCAGTTTAATATATGGTCATATTGTCCTCTATCGGTTAATTTATTATTAGTACATTAGTATATAGATCACACCGTGATCCACAGGAGGCCGTACAGACAGGCGTTTATCTTACAGCAGTATTAAAAAGGCTTTCAACTGTATCAAGCATCCCTTACAATGGCCATATGCCATAATTATAATTAATCACCTAGTTTGAAGTTCAAGAAAATAAATAACTGTAAACGTCAATCTAAGCACCAAGGCTGCCATGACAAATAGGAATAGGAATAGAATGGTTTTATAATCACATGATAAAATGTTTTACCTGCACACTAGTAAGCTCTTCTTTGATTTTTGATTGCTTTAAAGATCAGAACAATTCCAATAATTATCCCAAGAATTCCAACTGCCAACCCGAGGCCGCATATTACATTTTCATACATCTCTGAGTAGGGAGCTGGGGCCTCTGGACCTGTAGTAAGGGAGAGGGTTAAAATTAACCTCAAACAAACAGTCTTTATGCTCTCAGATTTGTAATGTGTAATAGAGTGAGTACTAGAGACACAATTTAACTTCCAGGATAATAATGTTCTAATTTTTCTTATAGCCTGAAGTGTGTATCTATGAGCCAAATTTGAATTTTATTCAATATCTTTTCTAGGGAGATCCAATGAATAGTTACAATCATAGATTTCTTTGTAAATAATACCAGTATTTAGTGATATTTATAGAACAAATTTGGGTTTTTGAGAAATGGTGGAAAGTTGAGGTAGAGGCAGATGATGCCCTTCCAGTAAGATATTCACCCTAAGAATATAGTCAATGCTATGTTTAAGTGGTTGAAAACTAAACCTCGATGTCTTAGAAGCCCTTAACGAAATCCAATTGAGATGCTCCCCATCTAAACGGACATATCTCGCCAATGAGAATGGTCAAAATGTACAGGATTCAGATGTTCAATGTTGGTAGAGATTTACACTATAAAAACTCACAGCTGTGAATGCAGCCAGTGGGGATAAGATCAAGTAATGACTCAACCAACAAATGTCTGTTTGTGTTTAATTAATGTTTGGGTCAAAAGATAATATTTTGTCTTCAAAGTGTTAGGGTTGCTGTACAAAAGGATATTTTAACATTTTCAATAAATTCCATTGTAATACTAGGTTGAACCAAATGGTAAACGATAAGTTGCTGATTATTCACCTATCTATTGGAAATTCAAAGTGATTTTAAAAATGTCAGGCCAAAATAGCCAAACAAAGTCTAGCAGGCTATTTCTAATTTGACTTCTTTGGGCCAATATTTGAAATTCCCTTGGAAGTCCGAGCAAATCACACGTTATAAAAGTAGAAATTAGAATACTCACTCCATGTCTTGTATGTGGGGTTGGTTTTTAGTCCGTCATGTGTCACAGAACATGTGTAAACATCGTCCTGTTCTGGGATGATCGCCGCATACAGGAATCGACTGAATGACCCGTCCGATGCTGGGTAGTAGTCTGTAGATGACACACCAGCAGCCACAGGCTGCCCATTCTTCAGCCACTCTATGCCGATAACTGGCGGAAAGAACTTGCTGGTGTAACAGATTAACGTGTTGGGCTCACCAAAAACCACAGGATTCTCTGTGAACGTTAGGATCTCTGGGCGAACTAAGGAGAACACAGAGCATGTATTTATCATTAATATCCTTATGACAGAGGACTTGCAGGACTGTCATGATATGAAGAGATTTGCTTGAATCAGAAAAGATTTACAGAAGTTGATTTTTACAAGTAAAATAAGTCAGAAATGTCTTTTCCATTATAAATCACAGTTTAATAAACAATCCATAGTAAAAACTTCTATTGTTCCTTAGCCGGAGCCATCTCGTAGGCGGTTTCCCTTGACACAGAAGTTTGTAATTCGAGTTCCCGAGGTTTCATTTTGTAGCATTATGTTTAACGGTGGTAAATTTGTGAGTGATCTCAGACAAGCTACTTATTTTAATTCAATAGAGAGTGTGTCATGGCTCCTGTCTGATGTTGGCCCTGCCATAGGACACATGCATAATTTTGGCTTCCTTTCGATATGGGCTCTTGTAGCTCATTATAGCCATACTCGCCTACATCATTATGACGCTGTCCAACTGGGCTCATTTCAGGGCTATTTAAGATCACACCACAGTCTATTATCTGCCAAATTGTGGCCTTAGTTACTCTAGAATGCGTTTGATTAGTTTATTGGTCTGTTTTTGACTCTGTTCAGTTATTGGATTATCCAGATTTATGTACTCCTGGACTGTGGCCTGTTTATGGTTTGTGTATCTGTATCCCTTGATCTGAGCAAGTCTCAGTTTGTTCTTAGCCTGCGTGCACATCCATTCTAAAGACTGGGAAAATGTTGCCATTTATACTCTTTAATACAGTTGGTCTTGAGTTTGCATGTTAGGGTGCACTCACTTTAACAGAGTGGAAGAATAACCATGTCTATATCTGGTGTAGGTGAAACAATCTTGTGGGTACAGGTTTAATCTGAACTGTATTCTAAGCCAAACCCTGGATATAAACTTAGAACATGACAAGGGGAATGCCAACTCATCCGTTCATCTGCTGACATGCAAGTCACTCTGAACTGTATTTGCCTTGCTATTCAGTGGGTAAAAAAAATAAAAAATTTAAATGATTAAAGGGACACTATATGGTAACCAAAAAAACTTTATCATAATTAACCAGTTTGCGTATAGATCATGACCCTGCAGTCTCCCTGCTCAATTCACTGCTGTTTAAGAGTTAAATTACTTTTGATTCTTTTTATGCAGACTTGGCCACACCTCCCCTCTCTGTGATGGTCACAGCCTGCATGAAAAAACGGTTTCATTTTCAAAATCGGCTGTAACTTAATTTAAAAGTTTTTATCTCCTGCTCTGTAAACTTAACTTTAAATACAAGGGCTCTTACAGGGTCTAGCAAGCTATTAACATAGCAGGAGATATGAAATTCTAAATTAAATATTATTTGCAATAAAGGAAGTGTAAACTTTAGATGACTCTTTACAGAAGGTGTTTAGGAAGGATGTGCAAGTCACATGCAGGGAGGTGTAACTAGAGATGTATAAACAAAGGGAGTTAATTACTCAATGACAGATAATTGAGCAGTGAGACTTCAAGGACATATTTGTACACCAAAACCATTTCTTAAAGCTAAAGTTGTTTTGGTGACTATAGTGTCCTCTTAAGACAAAAGGGGTTTAGCTTAGAATTCAGTTCAGAGTGATTTATAAGTCAACAACTGACTTTAGGAGCGATGTTCCTCCTTGACATGTTCTGTCAAAGCTTTAGATCTATCCTTCTACACTCATTATTCCTGAATGCTATACTTACCCTTAGACTTGGCCCATGAAGAGGGGCATATTAACATAACCGTGAATTTCACTTATCTTGAATTGTTTGAATACCATGAGTTCCTTCATACGTCCATTCTCTTTTGATCTAGGATTCTGTTTGATGCACTATATCTACATGTGAATATTTACCCTTTGATACAGACTCTGATCAGGGGGATATTGACATAACCGTGCATTCCATTTAGTTAGAGTAGATTGTAGACTGCGGGGTCTTCCACACTATAAAATATTCACTATATTCTGTTGATTTAGGAGTCCTAAAGCATCCAAGTCATAATTACCTCAAAAGAACCTCATTAACCACAGAATTAATATATTTCAAATTATAAACCTTTAAACACATTATGCCAGCATCATTTATAGCATGTATCAATTGAAATTGACTTTTGAATGCTCTATTAGGCTTTTAGGTGGAGTGATTTATATGGATTTCAGGATAAGTCATTAATCTGAGAATGTATAAACCATCTCAGTAACTACATTATTAACCGATATACCACGAGTATAATACATGTTGAAGAATTTTTACCACTAACTGCTGCTGAATGGTTAGAACGTTTTATCATTATGTTCAGATTTTGCTTCATTATCCCAATATTTTGCAGGGCTCCAGCGGCCTCAAAGGTGGACACCTCTCCGAACTGAGGAAGTCTCCATTTTGTCTCTTTTTTATCCAAGTCCACATAAAAGATTTCATCTTCATCGAACTGGAACATGTATTCCCCTGTTGGCTCTTCGGTTTGATAGAAGTTTGACTGAGTCAACACATTCTCCACTATAAAGAGAAAGACATTGATGTCACAAAATGGATTCCATGACAGTCTATTAGCATCAGAGCAAAAGAGACTGAAAGAAAACATTGGTTCAGAGCTTCCATATTGCTCCTGTTCACCCAAAGAAGACAATGCAATCCCATTTAAAGATCATCCATCACAGTAAATATGACAGATGTAAATAACTTTGTCAAACAGAAAGCAGAAGTATGTATTAAGAGGAGACTAAATCCACCCGTTATTAGGGGACTGATCTTCCTCCATCACCACAAATAATTGTAACTGGCATTGCAATGGCTATGGCCTGCTGTAAACATTATGGCACGTAGTTAACTTGGTGAGGGACTTTTCTCCATATTATGAATCAGTCTTAAATAACCATTGAGGGCCCCTGAGTAAGGCTTCAGCCCTGAGCAGCTGTCCCATTGCAGCTGCTTAGTGGTGCCAATGATTTGACTTCTTACCCGAGGTGCCACTCCCTGTATCCACTACATCAGCCAGAAGCTTTGTGTCTAAACAGAGTCAGGCGGTACATGGCTTAGCTCATTGGCTGAGAGATTAACAGATGATCTCAGTCAATGAGCTAGTCCTGCACTGCTGGGCTCGCTCAGGAGAACCAATGGAAGCTGTATGGCGGAGATAGAGGTGGGGAGTATCACCCAGCAGACTCCAGGTAAGAAGTCATACCATTCTAAAATGGCTTGACTACATTTACTAGGAGGACACCAGGGTACTCCTTGCATGATACCAGCATGCTGCAGTGGTTATGCTAATTAGATTACTCATTTGACATAAATTAAAGACACATACACTAGACAAGTGACCACTAACCCTGGCACTCTGAGCAGTGCCCAATAACCTTTATCATCTGCAGTGTCAATGTTAGCTATCACTATACTACAAGAAAGGCCTTGATTGTGCAGTTTAGTCGGGATTATAAATACTGCATACCTGGGAGGGTGGGCAGAGTCGTGAAGACTAAGATTTATTCACTAAATACTGAATCAGAGTGAATTAAAAACCAAACTTAGCTGGGACTAAAGCAGAGTTGGAGAATTATATCCAAATAAGCAACACTTGCCTAAATTCTGCCAATTTGGTTTTTGATACATCACAATTTGGTGGTTAGTGAATAACAACCTGAGCGATAAAATAATGATTGTAATAATTACAGTATTTAATACCAAACCAATAATAATGAAATGTAATACTAACTAAGCAGCTGAATGCACTTTAGGTTACATTATTTATAAATTCTCCAATTTATATTCTAGAATGTAGGCTCTTGAACAGGACCACAGACTAAGCAGAATAATAAAAGTTAGGAACTTTAATTGATGGTTTATCACTATTTGATAAATATATCCTGTTATTGTACCGTATGAAATCCTGATTGGGCACTTTCTATAGACTGCTTCCATATTGAATGGCCTTTAATAAAAGATCAGTAAACATCTTAACGGACGGACCTATACGTTTCTTACACACAGATTCAACACCTATAAAGCTGTGATCCCAGGTTAACAATGACTAAACTACCACAAATGGGGATTTATAGCAGAGGAACGGTGACAGAGCAGGAATTAGGTAAATTGGACTGTATGTCACATTGCTTTGCACATAAATCCCTCCATTAGAGAATGGCTGGTTGTATAAAAGGAGATGGCACCCATTATGACAGAATGACTGTATTCTGTACCCATCACACTAGGACGCTGGATTAGAGATTCAGCCTTACTGGTGACTGTTAATATAACATAAAATGAATATGCACCTTTAAATAAATGAAATGGGCACCTTCCAATTCATAAAATATTTTCAACAATAGTGATTATTTTTTACAAAACATACAGAGCGTCTATAGCATATTGAAATATAATAAATAAAATGGCATGTAGAGGCAGGACATATAATATGATATTAGTTATAAGGATAATATCACAGGTGACGATGAGAAGGACATGGATTGAAACTACACATGGGGTTGAGGTGGATGGCAATACAAGCAGAGATTTGATGAGGCAGAGAGATATTGTAGTAAATACAGAGAGATAATGCAAGATAGACAGATGCAATAACATGTTATTCATTTAAATAAATGATCAACCTATAAGTATGATTATGTACATAAAATATTCTGGAGAGATCTTCTCTGCTTAATAAATATGTAGATTGTTACACCTGTAGCTACAATCTATTCTAACTAGAGTCACAAGTATCATCCTATAAATCTAGATGGACAGAGTTCAAATTAAATAAAAACACATTTTTATGTTTTGTATATTTAGCCAAGAATTGAATTAGTAATACTGGAAAGACACACAATGATTACCAGTTTAAGTTACAATATAAAGAAATTTTATTTATCATGGGGTTACCTAGATCAGTAATTCCTGAACACATCTTCATAGACCCAGGTTTGTTCTAGTAAATCGTAGACAGATTTGGTAAATACGGAGCTAGTTTATAGATTAGATAATACTCCACATTCATGTTAACATATAAATTGTTGAGACTATCCTAATACACATTTATATCTCTCAGCAAACCCCATTACATTACCATATACTAATAGGGATATTCACTAAAGTGAGAATTCAAAGATCATTCCAAAATAGTTTTTTTAAAATTTAGGGCCATCGTAGTCCAAATGAGAATTATATCCGATTTAGCGGTTTAGACAATGTTTCCGGTTCGGCTATCTTGACTTTAAATTAGAAATTCACTTTGTGCTCACTTTGAATTCTCACTTTAGTAATTACCCCTGTAGATGTGGTTACTTACCTTTCACAGCCTGCCCGCTGTGCAGGCATAATACACAGAGCAGGGGAAGGTAAAACAGGGAGCAATGCCACCTCTGTGCCATGTCACTGCTTTGGTCTATAGAGACACAGAGAACCCAAGCAGTTACCAGCAGCCTCTGAAACTTCTGTAAGTGAAAGACAATGTCATACGTTATTAATGTCTCTTCCAGCCAATGGGAATATTTGTTTCTTATGACGCAGCAGTTGCTGGGTAAATAACTGGTTTCATGTGTACAGCAATCATTATTTTCAATGTTACCCAGGGCCAGGGGAGTATATTAACCCCTTAAGGACACAGCTTCAGAAGCTTGACTTACGCTTAATGACACAAGCAATTTTTGCATTTTCTTGCTGTTTGCGTTCAACTGCAATTTGCATCTCTCTCATTTATTGCACCGACACATATTATATACTGTTTTTTAAAGGACAGAAAGGGCTTTAATTTGATATAACATATATATATATAAATGCTTACTTATTATAAAAAAAATACAGAAAAATGCAAAAAAAATGAAAAATATTGTTTTTTTTTACAGTTTTTGCAATAATAATGTGTGCATAATTAGTGCAGGTTAAGGAAAGTAATTAAAAATAAATTTATTTATTTGTTCTGATTTACAGAATATATAATGTGTCTGGGATTTTCAGTTTTTTTTGGTAGTTACAGGTCACAAAGCACAAGGAGTAAAATAAACTTTTAATGTGGAGCGATTTTAGAATTTGGTATGTTTGTCTTGTAAGCCTAATAGCCATAAAAGAAAACAAAATTGCCACACAAAAGTATATATTTATATAAAGTAGACATCACAGGCTATTTACCTAAGGTGGTTTTGACACTTTATACATAGCCATTTCACCGCCAACCTCTGCTAAATATTGGAGTAAAATTTAGTTTTTTGGGGTTTTTGGCACACAAACTTATAACAAAGAACTTCTCATGTTTATTTTGTAAAGTTGGTGTGTGCTATTCCTGTACAAAGTTTTATCTTGTGTTCAGTTACATCTGCTGATTAAAATGACACCCCCATTGTATGTCTTTGGCACTATTTCGTGAAGTTACAGTGCCATTTAGGTGACTTGTCCTTTTCAGTATTCACAGTAGATTTTTGAGAGACGGATTTAATGAGCCTATGCATCCATTTGGGGTATTATAACAGTTTGACTGTTCAAAAAAACCCCACAAAGGCCTACCATTTGTAAAAGTAGACACTCCAGGGTATCTCATAAGGTGCATATTGTGCCTTAACATGCTCCCATTTTTTCACCAATATATGCCAAATTATGTGGTAAAAAATAATTTTGTGCGTTTTTTACATATGGATTGCATTTTTGCTGGGCATTTTGTATATTTCACATGTGCCACTAAGTTCAAACCCCCCAAATTATGCTCAGCTAAGTCTTCTGAGTAAAATGACACCCCCATTGTATGTCTTTGGCACTATTTCGTGAAGTTACAGTGCCATATAGGAGACCTATCCTTTTCAGTATTCAAAGTAGAATTTTGAGAGACGGATTTAATGAGCCTATGCGTCCATTTGGGGTATTATAACAGTTTGACTGTTCAAAAAAAACCCACAAAGGCCTACCATTTGTAAAAGTAGATACTCCAGTGTATCTCATAAGGTGCATATTGTGCCTTAACATGCCCCCATTTTTTCACCAATATATGCCAAAGTATGTGGTAAAAAATAATTTTGTGCGTTTTTTACATATGGATTGCATTTTTGCTGGGCATTTTGTATATTTCACATGTGCCACTAAGTTCAAACCCCCCAAATTATGCTCAGCTAAGTCTTCTGAGTAAAATGACACCCCCATTGTATGTCTTTGGCACTATTTCGTGAAGTTACAGTGCCATATAGGAGACCTATCCTTTTCAGTATTCAAAGTAGAATTTTGAGAGACGGATTTAATGAGCCTATGCGTCCATTTGGGGTATTATAACAGTTTGACTGTTCAAAAAAACCCCACAAAGGCCTACCATTTGTAAAAGTAGACACTCCAGGGTATCTCATAAGGTGCATATTGTGCCTTAACGTGCTCCCATTTTTTCACCAATATATGCCAAATTATGTGGTAAAAAATAATTTTGTGCGTTTTTTACATATGGATTGCATTTTTGCTAGGCATTTTGTGTATTTCACATGTGCCACTAAGTTCAAACCCCCCAAATTATGCTCAGCTAAGTCTTCTGAGTAAAATGACACCCCCATTGTATGTCTTTGGCACTATTTCGTGAAGTTACAGTGCCATATAGGAGACCTATCCATTTCAGTATTTACAGTACAATTTTGAGAGATGGATTTAATTGGCCTATGCTTCAATTTGGGACATTATTGCAGTTGGAAAGTTCAAAAAAACCCACAAAGGCCTACCATTTCCTAAAGTAGACACCCCAGGGTATTTCAAAAGGCATATTTTAAACCTTAGCGTTGGATCATTTTTTTGTTAGTTTGTACCAAGTCTAGTTACAATGAGCATTTTTTCTGCCTTTTTGACACACACTTGGAGTTGTTACTGTATATTTTGTAATCCTTATGTGTGCTATGGCAGTAGAACACCTAATATGTTGCTCAGCTATGTCCTCTTAATGCTGCAATACCCCCATGTGTACCCTTTTCAGGGATATGTGGATGTTGAAGGGGCACATTGGAGACCAAGCCATATCAGTTTTTACCGAACTTTGAATTTTGACGCTCGGCCCATGTGCAATTTCCAAGCATCTTAGCAGGTTTTAAGTTCAAATTACCCCACAAAGGCCTACCATTTTTTAAAGTAGACACCCCAGGGCATTTCAAAAGGCATATTTTAAACCTTAGCGTTGGATCATTTTTTTGTTAGTTTGTACCAAGTCTAGTTACAATGAGCATTTTTTCTGCCTTTTTGACACACACTTGGAGTTGTTACTGTATATTTTGTAATCCTTATGTGTGCTATGGCAGTAGAACACCTAATATGTTGCTCAGCTATGTCCTCTTAATGCTGCAATACCCCCATGTGTACCCTTTTCAGGGATATGTGGATGTTGAAGGGGCACATTGGAGACCAAGCCATATCAGTTTTTACCGAACTTTGAATTTTGACGCTCGGCCCATGTGCAATTTCCAAGCATCTTAGCAGGTTTTAAGTTCAAATTACCCCACAAAGGCCTACCATTTTTTAAAGTAGACACCCCAGGGCATTTCAAAAGGCATATTTTAAACCTTAGCGTTGGATCATTTTTTTGTTAGATTGTACCAAGTCTAGTTACAATGAGCATTTTTTCTGCCTTTTTGACACACACTTGGAGTTGTTACTGTATATTTTGTAATCCTTATGTGTGCTATGGCAGTAGAACACCTAATATGTTGCTCAGCTATGTCCTCTTAATGCTGCAATACCCCCATGTGTACCCTTTTCAGGGATATGTGGATGTTGAAGGGGCACATTGGAGACCAAGCCATATCAGTTTTTACCGAACTTTGAATTTTGACGCTCGGCCCATGTGCAATTTCCAAGCATCTTAGCAGGTTTTAAGTTCAAATTACCCCACAAAGGCCTACCATTTTTTAAAGTAGACACCCCAGGGCATTTCAAAAGGCATATTTTAAACCTTAGCGTTGGATCATTTTTTTGTTAGTTTGTACCAAGTCTAGTTACAATGAGCATTTTTTCTGCCTTTTTGACACACACTTGGAGTTGTTACTGTATATTTTGTAATCCTTATGTGTGCTATGGCAGTAGAACACCTAATATGTTGCTCAGCTATGTCCTCTTAGTGCAGCAATACCCCCATGTGTACCTTTTTCAGGGATATGTGGATGTTGAAGGGGCACCTTGGAGACACATCACTTTCATATTTTTCAAAAGTGGATGCTGGGCCAAAGTGTTATTTTAGCAGCCCAGGACTGCAAATTACCTCTCAAAGACCACATATATTTTTAAGTATAAGCAGCTCATCAATTCAAATTATGAACAAGTGCATACTATTTGCTGTGAAAAGGGGGAATAGTTGGCTTAATCCTATCTGGGGGTAGTACCCAGTGATCTGTGTCACGGGCAACGCTGTCACGGATTCCAAAACACAGACAGACTACAAAGAGAGAGAACACAGAGAGAGACACTTGTAATACCGGTCCTTAGAATGGCCGGGCTATACAAGCAGAGAATAGTCAAGGTACAAGCCGAGGTCAAAGGGGTAAAGAGAAACGGAACAACGATAGGACAAGCCGAGGTCAAGGATCAGAGAAGACAGGATAAACGGGAGACAAAGCCAAGATTTGGTAACCAGACAGTTGACTAAATTCAGACCCCAAAACTGGTCTGCTTATTCGGCCTGGGTGTGGAAAACTTTAAAACAGTGGCCAATACATAGGCCGGGCTGAGAGGGGCAATCAGGGCAGTAATAGCTAGTCTCAACTCTTACGCCCCTCTTGTAGCACACCCTGCATCTTTTCTGGGGGTTTTTCTTTCTGGGGGTTGATGGAATCTTGAAGCAGAAGTGACCTACCTCCATTCTTCTACTAAGCTCGACTGATGGTCCCCCTCTGTGGCACTCAAGTAACCCAGAAATTAGCTGAAATTGAAATGAAAGGAATGTGCATTTCAGCTGAGCATTTGCCTTTTTAAAAATAATAAAGGCATTGTGGACTGCTGTCTGCATTATATATATGCCCACTTTTTTATACCATGCCCTGGTTTTGCGCATGATTAGATACGGCTGCATTAGTTGATCGGACAGATCAACTCCCCCCATATGTCGATTATATTGCTGTATGCAGACTGGCACCCATTTATATTCCTCTCTGCCACGAACTGCGACCCTGCGAGTGTTTTCCCCGTGGATGGTAGTTAGGATGAAAACCTCCTTTTTATCGCGGTACTTGAGTGCCAGCAGTTCATTCTGGCAGAGAGCTGCTGTTTCCCCCTTTTTTAATTTTTTTTCTGCTAGAGCCTTTGGGAAACCTGTGCGACTCTTCCTGATAGTGCCACAGGCCACGGTCTCAAAACAGTACAGCATTTGTAAGAGTGGGATGCTGTTATAAAAGTTATCAATATATAAGTGATAACCATAGTTAAGTAAGGGCATTATTAAATCCCAGACAATTTTCCCACTTGTCCCTATTATATCTGGGCAACCTGGGGGATCAATGTGGCTATCCCTTCCTTCGTATACACGAAAGGTGTATACATAGCCACTGCCACTTTCACATAATTTATAAAATTTGATCCCATACCGGGATCTTTTGGATGGGATATATTGTCTAAATCCCAGTCTTCCCTTATATTTCATGAGGGACTCATCAATTGAAATGTGTTTTTTGGGGGTGTAAATAGTGGCAAATTTTTCATTTAAGTGGGAAATTAGGGGGCGTATTTTATAAAGAATGTCATACTGTGGATGACCTTTTGGGGGGCACTTCATATTGTCATTAAAGTGCATAAAACGCAGTATGTCCTCATATCGCTCCCTATGCATTGTCTGGGAAAAAATGGGGGTATTAAAAATAGGATTTTTAGTCCAATACATTCTAATTGTGGGCTTTTTAACTATCCCCATTAACATTGTCAGTGCCCAGAATTGTTTAATTTCTGGCACACTGGTTGGGTACCATCTCTCTGTCCTGGCGATTCGGGAGTCTTGGTTGCGTGCAAGATATTGCTCCGCATACAGATTTGTCTGGGTAACTACCTCCCCAAAAAAATCATCCCCCAAAAACAGCTCCATACAATCCAGCGCATTATAGCCAGACAGGTCAGCCTGTATGCCAGGATTGGCAGTGAACACTGGGATGTCTGGCGAAAAATGATTAGGGGGTACCCAGTCATCTGTGCCATATTGAACATTAGGGGAATCAGCGATTTCCTCTGATGTTACTGCAGAATCTGGCACATAGTCCCTGTCCCCTGCGTCACTCCCTGCGTCACTCCCTGCGTCACTCTCTGAGGCAGTGTCGGTCGCCTCTGAGTCAGCGGCTAACAGGGCATAAGCCTCCTCTGCGCTATACTTTCGCAACATTGTTAATACAGTTAACACAGAAACAAGAAAACTTTAACTAAATAACTAAACTTTTTTTTTTTTTTTACCCCTAACTAAATTCCCCAATTAACACTAAATTCCACCCACCCAACTAACTAAATCACAAATTAATAAAATAAAATAATAAAATTGAACCCCTTAGGGTTACAAAAAATAAATAAAATTTAACCCTTAAGTGTAAAAAAAAAATAGATCACAGTAAAGTACTGTGACCTGTATATTGATCACTGCTAGCAGTGATCAAGCAGCAGGGAAAGGGTTAATTTTTTTTTTTTGACAGGGGAAAGGGATAATTAATTTTTATTACACCTTAGCTATTCCTCAGGGACACAATGTAGCACCAATCCGTCTCTCTCCACTTCACAAACCCACAAGAGGTGGAGGGAGGCGGATCAGATGTCCCAGCAGCATTGTGACCGCTGTGACTGGCTGTCACAGCGATCACATGTGCTGGGACATCGCGATTTGCTGTTGCTGGTCTGCCCCTGACTCGGAGGCACCCAGCAACAGCGTTAACCCCGCGATCGCCGGCACTGCGGCGATCGCGGGGTTAATTTTACCGCGTGACGGACGAGGTCCGTCACCCGTCGTTAAGGGCATCCCCAGGATGACGGACCTCGTCCGTCATCCGTCCTGAAGGGGTTAATATAATATGAATTTATTTTTAAACTTCCCCCTCAATATGATACATTGTACACAAAGTCTACTACAGAGTGGGAAATACACCAAGAAACAATTTAAAGGTATCCTGTAACCCCTTACTTTGGCTTCTGCTCACCCGCTGCGATCTCATTAGAGGGTCCATTTGTGCTCCTTCTCTGCCGTTCACTGATTTCCCATACTTTGGGACATTCTACAAAGCAAGGCAAGTCTTCTCAGTGATGCCAACATGATGGCTTCCTTGCCAGCTTGCCGATATCTGAGCGAAGTGATGCCATGTCATTCCGTTCCTATACTCTCTTGCCAGCACTAGCAGCATCAGCTACGGAGTTTCTGAGCGGGACCCTCCTCAAGCTGCAGGAAGATCAAAAAAGATTTTAATAATGACTCAGTCCCTGGTGGTCTGTGGGCTAATTCCAGACCCTCGCCATGGTTCCAGCACACTGTGAAACAACCAGAGAGCAGGAGCCGAGTTTCCCTACCTGCCCTCTGACTTGCTCACAGAGAACTAGGTGAAAGGTCAGTGTAGGACCCACCTGAGAGGTTTGCTTTGACATGGCAGGCGGGCATTACCTCCAATGGCCATTGGAGTAACTAAATAACCTCCATTTGTTTAATTATACATAGGGATTTGGGAGAGCGTAGGTAACTTTTGTTTTTGCTGTCTGTATTGGGGCTGATTTTGCCTTCCTTCCTGCACAGTAGGGAAGCAGGAGAGGGAAAATGTTACAAAAAACTAAAAGGGAAGACTGTTTAACACAGAGCCTCCCCACATACTTTCACCCCCCACACACACTATCGCCCCTCACTCACCCTGCCACAAGCACTCTCCCCCCAACCTTGTCACACTCACCCCCCTCCCCTCATTCTATTACACTCACAGCCCTGCCACACTAACCCTGTAACAAGTTTTCAGGATTTGCAGTAGCAGTGGTGAGCATGGCCAAAATCAGAAATTACTACAAGCTTTCAGCCAATCCAGGACTTTCCATTGCAATGAAACTGCCGAGATTATCCCATAAATGCCAAAATTATCCGTTCACAATTCCTATTCAATGATTGTCTGCTAATAGTGAGCTAAACCACCACCAGCGCTCACAGCGTCACGGAGACCCACTTTGTTAAATTAATCGAAAATACTAGGACAAAAACTAGTGGGATTGCACCAAAACACCGGCAAAGTGACCATTAATTAGGACAATACTTTCTAAGTATGAATTTTAATGTTGCATATTAAGGAAAATCCATTTATAATTTTTTATTCTGAGCTCTGTATTTACAGATACACTCACATTATTAAACCTGTGAATACTTTGTATATCAGAACAGAATAAGGTATTGCGAAAAAATGGTTTCTCCCTGGTGACAGGTGACAATTAGTATTTGTAGCTCCTGATTGGTTAATTAAAAATAAACTGTCCAATCCTTTGTCAGTGGGAGTTCCCCATACCTCTTATTCTAACATCATTCTGTGTAGTTTCACTTAGTGAGTTTAGTTCTCCCTGCAGGACAGACAAGGCACCAAGATGGGCACAGTGGGCATTGCTGCCGTATTTCTACTGAGTGCATTGATCCTGATAGCTGACCTGACATGTAAGTAATCCATTAAACACCTGTCTGATAATCTGTAATAATAAATGGCATGGGATGCTGCGAGGTTAATTATGGGGTTATATGCTAGTACTGAGCAGCTACCCCCTATTTCTAATCATAGAGAGTAATGGAGACACCAGGTCCTCTCCTCACCTTACCCAGTGCCTCAAACCGTGATAATTGTACCCCATGAGGGTTTATAGAACTGACCAGGGGGTCCCAGAAACCAGGGGTATTACAGGGGTATTTATTAACCAAACAGGGAGTTGGAAATAGAATCACTCTAAAAATAATTACTGAAACAATTATTAGTGAATAAACTATTTATAGGGTCCTATTAGAAGGAAGGCTGGTATTACAGGTAAGTAAATAGTGTGTGTGGCACTCCAAACCAAATCACAGATTTTGGTGCTGTTACTAGAAGGTTGGGGGGGTGCAATAAAAATAAATGAAGGTCTCGGCAATAGTTTCAGCCATCAACGCGAACGGACGACATTTCAACACATATCTGTCTTGAGAAAGTCATTCACTTTAATGTCTGAATAAATACCTGAGTTTATTGCTGTGTGCTGAGGACCTTTTTTTGGTATTATGGGTGCTCCATAAGATAAAAATTGAGACGCATTGACCCAGTATATGGAAGTATGTTTCTCGGTATCACTGCTTCAAAAATAATTTATTGTCTGGGTAGAATGCCTGAAACTAAAACCATAAAGTATTATGGATAGAGTATGGTATACGTATTATTATTCCAGTAATAGTAATAATAAAATTATAATCAAAATACTGGGTAAATGTGTAAAGCATAGATGGACAGTATTACTGTGTAACCATATACAAAGAGAGTATTATTTCTATATCCGTATAAAGTACTAACAGGTGGTTTTATAAATGTATCTATATACATCTTGGACATTTATTATAATGGGCATAGCTATATAATATAGCAAGCTGTACCAGTGATCTGTATGATGTACAAATGGGCAGTATTTATTGTATTGCTATATAAAATATATAACTAACACTTTCTATGCGTCTGGACTCTGTATTCATCTAAAGTATTGACACAGTACTGTATAGATACATAGCATTATATACAATGTCCACAGGTAGCATTACTGGCTTATAGCTATATACAATGTCCACAGGTAGCATTACTGGCATATAGCTATATACAATATCCACAGGTAGCATTACTGGCGTATAGCTATATACAATATCCACAGGTAGCATTACCGGCGTATAGCTATATACAATATCCACAGGTAGCATTACCGGCGTATAGCTATATACAATGTCCACAGGTAGCATTACTGGCATATAGCTATATACAATATCCACAGGTAGCATTACCGGCGTATAGCTATATGTAATATCCACAGGTAGCATTACTGGCGTATAGCTATATACAATATCCACAGGTAACATTACTGGCTTATAGCTATATGTAATATCCACAGGTAGCATTACTGGCGTATAGCTATATACAATATCCACAGGTAGCATTACTGGCTTATAGCTATATACAATAGCCACAGGTAACATTACTGGCTTATAGCTATATGCAATATCCACAGGTAGCATTACTGGCTTATAGCTATATGTAATATCCACAGGTAGCATTACTGGCGTATAGCTATATGCAATATCCACAGGTGGCATTACTGGTGTCAAGGCCGGTGTAAGGATTTTTGCTGCCCTTTTCCATTTTTAGCATATTTTATAAATTTTTTAAAGTAAATTATATGATGAAAATAATGGTATCTTTAGAAAGACCATTTAACCCCTTAATGACAACTTCTGGAATAAAAGGGAATTATGACAGAATATTTCTGTCATGTGTCCTTAAGGGGTTAATGGCGAGAAAAACGGTATACAATATGTGTAGGTACAATAAAGGAGAAAAAAAAATTACAGCTAAACACAAACACCGCAAAAATTTAAAAACCACCCCAGTCCTTAACGGTAAGAAAATTGAAAAACTGTCTGGTCACTAAGGAGTTAACAAGCTCCCAGATGATCTCTGATTCGTGTGGCTGTTTGGTTCACAAACCACATAGTTCCAAATGCATGAACAGAGCCTTTTAAAAGTATTTTAGTCAGGTTTATCTCGGGGTCCATACATAGGCGTGCGCAGCCTATTGCATAAGTGTGTGCACCCTAAAGCACAAACTAGCGTCGAATATATATATTATATATACACACACACACACACAAACACATATATACACTACTGTGTGGGTGCGCTGTGTGTAAGGGTGCTGTGTGTGCATGTGTGAGGATGCGTGTATGTGTAAGGTGCTGTGTGTGAGGGTGCGTGTATGTGTAAGGTGCTGTTAGTGTGTGTGTGTGCTGTGTGTGAGGGTGCTGTGTATGTGTGCATGTGTAAGAGTGGGGGGCCGTTTAGTTAATATCTCCCCTCCCTTATTACCTTATGTAGGGAGGGGGGGGGGGGAACCGTGCTGCTGCCATCGCTGGTGGTCCAGTGGTGAGTGAACTCTAGCTCTGCAAAGGGCTAGCGTTCACTCTACTCTCATGAGATCTGAGCGTTGCTGTGGCAATGCTCCGACCTCGCGAGAGGAACCCGGCGGAGCTGCTGGCAAGAGCTCCCCAGGTCCTCTCCTGCCTCCCTCCCTGTGGGTCGGTGAGTGAGATAATATACTAATATAATATCTAGATCTATCTGTGTGTATGTATATCTCTCTCTCTCTCTCTCTCTCTCTCTCTCTCTCTCTCCATACCAACAGTAAATAACACCATAGCCCAAAGTTCCTGCTTTACTGGACACTGCGGTTAGGGGGTATGGCTATACTTTTAAGATGAAAGCGTGAGATTAGCATAGGGTATGTGTTTTGTCATAGCTGCATCCTATGAGTTTCCTTCCAGCACCATCTCCATACATGACGCGTGGGTGGTAGGACTGTTTTAGTGTTTTTGGTCGATTTGATTTTGTAATTAGGCCCATCAAAATTGTCAGCACCAGGCCCACTGGGCTCTTTATCTGGCCCTGCTTGCTGTGAGTGAGCCACTGTAATTTAGGGGCACAGGGCACTTGCACTGCGGTAAAGACGGATCTGGGCAGGAGGAGAGTGCTATGCAATCAGTGTAGTCCCCTCCTGTGGGTCACCAGTAGACTGGTGCACCTGCCCAGGATCAGAGCCGGTGCAAGGATTTTTGCCGCCCTAGGCAAAAGAAAAATTTGCCGCCCCCCCATGTGACATCACAATGCCCCACCTATATCTGCCATATGAACTAATGCCAATGCTGCACACAGTGTGTTACATTAAAAAGCCTGCAGGGACCGGCTATAGACACCAGAACCACTTCATTAAGCTGAAGTGGTTCTGGGGACTATAGTGTCCCTTTAATGTGAGGTAAATTATAGATTAGTGTCACTAATAATATACTAGATTACCTACTTACAACCAGATGAGGATTATGATGGGCTGCAGTTTGGCTCCACTGGTCTGGTGTAGAACAGGATCTCTGGAGGCTGCTTGTAACTGGTCACAAAATTCAAAGTTATAGTAGAATGGGAAGCAGCAGCTCAATTTTTTGGGACCCCTTACACAGCTCAAGGTCTGGGCCCCAGGGCCTGACGGAGAGTATGCCCATAAGGCCCACCTACATGTTCCACCCATGTGTGTAGGGGATGTGTTATTGTAGAGGATCTAATGTGTGTGCTTATGGTATGTAGTGTATAGGGATACCAGTTTGTGTAGGTGATGCAGTGTATTTGTTTGTAGTGGAAGCAGTGTGTGTTTGTGTAGAAGGGATGTATTGTGTGAATCTGTGTTTATATGCATAAGGGATGCAAGGTGTGTGTAAGTGTGTGCAAGAAATGCATTGTGTTTCTGTGTATATGCAAGAGAAGCAGTGTGTGTT